TCTTATTTATAGAAGACTGAAGGTGTTTTCGTGAAATACCTGCATGCTTTATGATGTATTAATGAGGTATTGACAGTATGTACTCTGTAGACATTAGGAAGTTTGTGTTAAATGTTTCAAAAGATCGCAGTCTTGTTCCATGTAGGTCAGAAATGAGGTCTTCATTTCGTCAACCTCACTTTATGCTTTAATGCATTCATTCTGCAAGTACTTGGTTTATCTCAAAATTTGACCTTGGCCTTATCATATCACCAGTTAGGGTCCCTGACTCTGTTCATTTATCAGTTTTGCAAATTACGGGGCTGGACACAGACAGGGACCTAAAAATGAAATGAACATACACAAAACAAAAATAAAACCGAACCCCCCCCCAAAAAAAAACACATCAGTAGGAACATATGCAAAACAACGAGTCCTCCAAGCCATTATTTTAATTTAGGGAAACAAGAATCACTTTGCACCTGTTTCTGATCAAACCCGTTTAAGCAGTTCCTTGATTATTTATAGGTCAGTGCTTTTCAAACTTGGATTTGCATACCGTTCACGTGGGCATCTGTTAGAATGCAGACTGTGCCCCAGTAGGTCTGGGCTGGGCTTGAGATGCTGCCTCTCGAGCGAGCTCGCAGGTGGTGATGCTGATGCTGGTGCAGAGGCCACACCTTGAGGCCTGAGGTGTAGACCTAGCCCCGTTCCTCCCAGTGCATCAGGCTTCACTGATGCCCTCCTGTCATATGCAGCTTCTTTCTCCCTCAGCCTCCGCTTCCAGCAATTCCGCTCTTTTCTGGGGGGTTATCAGGCCTTTGCCATTCAACCAAGCAATCCCATAGTTAAGTTCTTTGACTAGGAAGATAAAAACAAACAAAAAAGCTTGCTGGATGCCCAGGTGTCTTTCTGATTTTCCATAATAAAAAATGCTGTGATTGTGTATTGGGGTGCTTCAGGAGTGACCTCAGCATTCTGAACTTCTGTGACTCCAAGGGCCAGAACCATGTTCTCAGGGAGCCTAAAGAAAGCAGCTGGCTTGTGCCAGGATCAGACGCGTGCTCCGTCCTGCAGGGGAAGGCACAGCAAGGTCTCCCTGGCTCTCACAGGTGTCACCTAATGCCTGTGACCTACCCTGGCTGTGACTCTGGACTTCGGCAAAATAGTGTAAGGCAAGCATGGTTAAGCATTCGCTTTCATAATATTTTGAGGGATGGGGGAGGTGTACTTTTACAGAAGATTCCTCCCTCTGCAGCTCAGCACCAGAAGTCTCAGATACCCGTAATTCAGCCTTGATTAATACTAAGATGAGACTGACGACCATGAGCTTCTGTAGCAGAATTTTAAGAGGACCCAGGTGCTCTTGAGAAGGCTGAGCTCCAAGTCAGCAACTTGCTCTTACGACATGGATAGGGCAGGCGGAATAGTAATATGTGAGCTGGCATTTATTTCAGGTCAAATCTATTTATTTTCTACCCTGTCATCATAAAATTGAGATTCTGTCTAAGATTTTACTAAGTGAACAAATAATAAGGAAAGGTTTATTTTAATACCCCCAAGGACTATTGACTTTTTGAGACGATGACTGTTTGTTGTAGGGAGCTATATTCGTTAAAATGTTTGCCATGGAAAACGATTCATAAATTCTGTTGGTCATAGAAGATTGGTTTACGCGCCAGCCTTGGGGTGACGATCACCTCCCTGATCTGGTTCTGATTAATTTACCTGGTTTAAGCAGCTCTGCACACTGCCTCGGAAATAGGAAAGTCGCTAAAAGCCTTCAGTGTAAAAAGGTCATTATGCAAGTAAAATAAATGAATAATGCTAACAATTAAATGTAAAACACAAATTGGAATTCTGTTTTTGTTTTTGTTTTTCATGACATTGGCCTTCAACTCTTGCAGAAGTCTTGCTGACTATCTTTAATGCCCGATCTCTGAGTATCAGTTATTACTTTGTAGCAGAGTTCCCTGAAACTTGACAGCTGGAAACGGCTATCTCACAGGTTCTGTACAGATCTGAGTGCTGCCTGGCAGGATCCTTTTGCTGTAGGGTCTCCCACTGGGTTCAGGCACAGTGTCAGCTGGGGCTGTGGTCTCATCTGACGACCCAACTAAGGGAGAGCCCTTTCCCAAGCCTGCTCACGAGGTTGTTAGCAGGATTCCACTCCTTTTTGGTTGTCGTGTGGAGTATCTCTGCTCTTCACGGGCTGTTGCCTCCATTCCTTACCATGTTGGCCTCTCCAGTAGGTGAGTCACACCACGGCAGCCTTGACCTCCAGAGGGAGGGCTCAGAGAGAGAGAGAGAGAGAGCGCGCGCACAAGATGAAAGGCATGGTCTTTTTCTAGCCTAATCTCTCTATCTCTCTTTTTAACCATTTTATTAAAGCATTATTGACATGTAAAATGCTGTAATATTTAATGTGTATATCCCCGTGAGTTTGGGGATAAGTAAACACCTGTGAAACCATTACTGCCGTCAAGGTCATAAACAGACCTGTCTCTTCCCAAAGTTTTCAGCAACCCCTTGATAATAATAATAATAATAATATATTATAATGATAATTATAATAATTATAATTCGTGTGTGTGCTAAGAGCACTTAACATAGATTCTACCTTCTTAGCAAATTTCAAGTATACAGTACAGTATTGTTAGCTGTGGACGTTATGTGGACAGGAAGTCTCCAGAACTTCTCTATCTTGTAGAAATAAAACTTTGTATCCTTTGACCATCACCTCTGCCATTTCCCCCTCCTCCCAGCCCCTGGCAACCACCACTCCACCCTCTGCTTCTAGGAGTTTAAGTATTTTAGAACCCACATGGGGGTGAGACCAGCCCTTTTCTGGGGCTGGCTTCTGTGGCTCAGCCCTCTTGAGTTCACCCATGTTATTTCAAATGGCAGGTTTTCCTTCTTTTTAAGCCTGAATAATATTACATTGTCCAGATGCACCACATTGTCTTTGTCCACGCATCCATCGAAGTATGTTTTGGTTGTTTCCATGTCATGATGTGGCCTAGTCCCTGAAGGGACATCCCATCACTGTATCCTGCTTATGAGAACCAAGTCTGTAGGTACAGGCCATGCTCAAGGGGAGGGGATAGCACAAGGACATAAATACCACAATGCAGGGCTCTCTGGGGTCTTCTCAGAATCTTTCTGCCGCATGTAGCGAGGGTTCCATAATTACGAGTTCACATCTGTCATCGCGCTCGATCCCCGTCCTTAAGATGTGTCCTCCAGGACGTCATGCACTCCTGGTCCGTGTTGAGTTCAAATTAGTTGTGCCTTGAGCAGCTAACAGTCTGAGCTGCGGGCCCAGAGCAGGTGGCTTAACTTGCATTACAGTTTGTTCTGTAGAGGATGTACAGGGAGTTTGCACGCTTGCATTTTTAGGTTCTGAAAAAGGAATTGAGAAGGAAGGGAGGCCTAAAGCCAGAGAGCCCCTCTAAGATGACAGCAAGCGAGGCATGGTGGGTGGGAGGGTGGTGATGAAATGTAGAAAGGTTAGACTGGCTCCTTGCCAGTGAGATCTCAGTGTAGGTGACATGTCCCAGGGAGAGGCTTTCCCTGTGCGTCCCGTTGAAATTAGCTGTCTGTTCTCCCTTCCCCCTTCTAGAGCTGGTGCTCTGGCACCATTCCCTGCTCTTTTGTTGTTCACGGTCTCTCTCCCCCGTGAGGACTAAGCCCCAGGAGACCAGGGGCCTCGTCTGTCTAGGTCCAGCCATGTGTACCGTCAGCACCACGTATGGGCCCTGGCAGACGGTAGGCTCTTAGTAAATACTTCCCGAATCAATGAGCACACAGACGTGAAATGACTCCAAGGAGCTTTTTGGAAATCGTAATATCTTCATGACTTCCAAAGGAAATGCCGCTGATTCAGTTAACATGCAAAATATACTAATTTGTTAAAGAGAAGAAAACAGTCTCAGAATTGTGGGGTAGTTTTGTCCCTGCCACTGATGACTCGTGGCCGTCGGGCCAGTCGTGTGCCCTCTCTAGGCCTCCATTTTCTCAGTGGATACATGCAGGGGCTATAGGCTGGGTCTTCAGAGGGCTCTGTCCTCAGATCCAGCTCAGGCCAAAAGGATGCTATCCCCGGGGGTGGGGGGGCTGGGTGGTTGACACCCATAGGGCTTCCATGCCCACCAGTGGCCATTCCAGTTCTGCAAAAGCATTCCTGGTTGCAGTCCTTTTGGCTATGAGGGGTAGAGACCTGAGGCCCACAGAATTTAGGATTAGCAGAACCAATGGGAAGGTCCATAGGAAGGCTAATAATTTTGGTGCAAGTGATCTAGCGCCCTTTCCAAGAACATAAAAGATCGCCTCTCTCTTCCTTCCCTCCCGCTTCCTCCCACCCCCTTGCCTCACACCTCGCTTAAGCCCACATCATGCTGCCTTTGAAATGTTAGCATCGATTTTTTTTTTTTTTCCCCTCGTTGACTAACTCATTTCAAGATTTCATTTCTGGCACTGCCTTTCCTACCAGATAGCCAGAGCTTCCAAGCTCCAAGTTTTATAATTAAAATTCTGTCACATCCCCCGAAACGGTGCAAATTGTGCCATTACGCCTGGCATAAAAGATTTGAAAGCACTTCACCTAGTAATTTAAATATAATACTTCTGGTAGCTTTCAATTTCTGGTATTTTTAATTCTAATTAAAAACCTATCATTGAGCATTACTATCCTCCGTACAGCGTTGCTGGTGTGCCTCCGCGCTCCACTTTGGCCGGCTAGTTTTAAACAAACAGCTTGGCTGCATGGCTGCTGCGGCCCACGTGGTCTTTCCTGGCCTTTGGGAATCACCAGGTCCCAGGCATAATTAGTATAAATCACAATCCTCTAGACTATGACAGGAAAATGGTATGTTTGAAGAGCAGCTTATTAAAATGACCTACTTAATTTAAGAAAAATATTGTATCCACTTGCACAATAACCTGGATGCTTTCCCTGACAGATTTTATAATATTTCTTCCCTCTCCTTTTTTTTCCCCCCTTCCCTCTTTGTTTTTATAAGAAAAGGAAAGGGAATGGAAAGGCCCGTTCTACTTCATCCAAGGTGCAGACCCACAGTTTGGACTAATGAAGGCGTGGTCCACTGGGGACAGTGACAGTGGTGGTGACGAGTGGGGGCAGGAGATCCGTCTCACTGAGCAAGCTGTTGAGGCCATCAACAAGTTGAAGCCCAAACCCAAGTTCTTTGTTCTCTGTGGGGACCTCATCCATGCCATGCCAGGTAAGACTCATGCTGTTGATGTCACCTTCTCTCCTTCCAGTCATGACTGCATTTGGGCGGGGGGGGGCCAAAAACATTTCTCTTAAGAGATGTCTTTGTTCAGTAATGGCCCATTCCTTCTCTCCGTGGCCGCTGGAGTATCCTTGGACATCAGAAAATGCACCCTCATTTTTACATTTAGACTTTGGCGAGATTAATCACAGTAATTAGGCGCAGCTACAGTTCTGATGATATGAACTTATTCTGAAAAGTGGAACCGACTCCCACAAGTCACCTTTATTTCCAGGGAACAAACTTCAACTTCTTTCAGATACCATATCCACAAGTGTAATGTTCTCTTATTTCCTCTCATCTTATACTTCAGTATTACCTGTATTTGTGCTTTTTCACTTGCAAGTCACAGAAATCTAACTTAAACTGAATTATTATTATTATTATTATTATTATTTTAAAATTAAAGGTACATGTTCCTTTATGGGACTGTAAAATCCAGGGGCAAATGTGGGCTTCAGGTATGGCTGGATCCAGAGGCTCAGAGGTTGTTAACAGGACTTGGTCTCTCTTGCTCAGCCCAGCTTTTCTCTGGGTTGAATTCCTTCTTACACAGGCTCTCTCTAGATGGTGGTTCCTGGGAGCTCCAGGTTTACATCCCTCTCACAGAAACCACAACAGAAAGAAAGTACCTTATTCTTGGTGGTCCATTCAAAGTCCCAGACTGACAGTTATGTGGCACATGTGTCCCCTTAAAGCCAGGATGTGGGTGGGGTCTATAGCAGTGTGGTCTAAAGAGCAGGATGATTTCCCACAAGGGACATAGAATGTAAAGATAACAGATTCCTTCTAGAACTCTCTTGCATTTTTGTTTCCTCCTCTGATACATTCTCCCCCAGGCAAGAGTAACGCCCAGTGACCACGTATACACAGGTAGAACTGTGCCAGCCCATCAGAAAGGTAGAGTAGACCAGTAGACCCCCATGGCCACACTTAGTGGACCAGTGGTCTCTTCCTTTGGAGCAGTAGTGGGCCTGAAGACCATTGCCGAAAACACCACGGTGGCCATGCATGTTTTCTTTGGCTAACGCTGTCCTGTATGCCTGCGCTCTGAGTCCTGTGATTTCCAGTGCCTTTAGAAGCTGAGGCACTCTATGGTAAGCTGGGGTGCATTCATTCTTCCCCATGACTTCACTTGTCTGGCAGCCTACCTCTCCAGAAGAATCCCAAAATGAAGATGTGAGAGTGGGAAAGGGGCTGCCCAGAATCACAGTCCCCAAGGTCCTGACTGTAACGAGCAAGAGGAACCCTCAGACCTGTTCTCATTCTCTGTTTATACATATTTAATGCAAAGTCCTGAATGTGGACGTGCCCATGTCATTCATTGAGTACCACTGGAGAGAACCCATGGTGGTCATCCCTGGAGACCTTCTCCTGCTCTTGGGCTTGTGCCAAAGTGGCAAGGTGGGGAAGAAGGAAAATAAGGCAGTGGACAGAGACCTCCACACCTGCCACTGATGTGCTGGGTGAACTTGGACATACCCCTTCCCTTCTCAGAGCCTTCATTTCTGAGCCAGGAGCCCACTGATGCAGTAAGCATTCAAAACCTTGATCACAGTGAAGAAGGGTCAGACAGCCCTGTCTCTCTGTGCAGGTGGTGCACGTCTCAGCAGCTTAGTACAGAAGCACATGTCACAGCGTGGTGCTGAGTTTTGTTTTGTAGCGAGGTAAAATCTTAGCTGCCTATGAACTGGGCCATCCTTGGTGACCCTCAGCCGAGGGTTTCCTGGTGCTGGTATTGCACACTGCTAAAGGGAGCACAGAATGCCCCAGTTTCTAAAGGAGTTAGAAACCATAGGAGGACTCGGAGTCTTGGTTTACCTGGTAAAGCCAAGGTAATCTGCTAGTTGACCAGGTTAATGCTGCTTCCAAATGGTCTGATCTGCTGTTAGCTAGGTTCTTTTGGATCTTTTGGCCCAATACGCACTGTAGCATCAGCTAGATCTCTCACTCTGGACCGTCCAGTGAGCAAACTTCTGCTTTTATTGGACACTTGAAGGCCAGATTCCAGTTTCATGATTTTTATGTCCAGTGGCTTCTTTTCTTTGAAAACAGAAAGATAGGGGCACCTGGGTGGCTCAGTTGGTTTAATGTCTGCCTTCAGCACAGGTCATGTTCCCAGGGTCCTGGAATCAAGCCTCTCCTTGGGCTCCCTGCTCAGCAGGGAGCCTGCTTGTCCCTCTTCCGCTCTGCCTGCTTGTGCACTCTCTCCCTCTGTCAAATAAATAGATAAAAATCTAAAAAAAAAAAAAAAGGCAGAAATGTTATAGGACTCACTAAAATTATATAACATGTTTTTGTAGCTGTTTACCGACTCATTCTGAATTATGTTAATGTATTCAGTCATATTTCAAAAGAAGATTTAAAATGAAAGCTTTCTATGCAGTTTCATTGCTTCTTGAATAAAAGATAGTGAGCATAGTAAATGAAAAGATACGGTTTTTATGATCAGCTTTTTCCACTGGTCAGAAGACCTTGTAAATGTGAACCGGCAGTCTTTTGAACACATAATTTTATATTCAGTGTGACCCGAGCAGAATTCACATCTGTTCTGAAGAGTTGGACTGTTTGGTGGGGTTGTAACTGAGCCAGTGGAAGGACTGTAACTATTTTGAATATTGTGGTCTGAGATTAAACAGACTGTTTTAAAGCTAGTTACCATTTTTTAATATGCAATTAGTGGCTTCCTCCTCATTTAGCTCATAACGCAGGGGCAGACACTAGAAAAGTAATTATTTGCTTTGACTGCTTAGCACATTGTTAATTATCAGATGCATGTATTAATAGGCAAATAAAATCAGAAGCATACTTTTAATTCTACCATAAATAATATCCTGGGCCAAGTAGTTTTAAGTTCAAACTGGAGGAAAAAAAAAAACAACTTCATGAATAATGCTCTTTCTAATGGAAGTCATAATGGCACTTTTCCATTATACATATTTATCACAAAATTTGTTCATTTACAAATGCCTACCGTGTGCCCACTGAGTGCCAGTTAAAGCCCTAGGCGCTGTGGGTATGATGGTTGGAAATGAAAGGGCGGCCCATCCGTGGAGCTTAGAGTCTGGTAGGGAAGTGTGAAACCAGGGATGGCGAGGGGCCCTTCTGGTACCACTCCCTGCAGGGATGGTGCCAGAAATGCAGGACAAAGTCTAGTTAGTTTTGAAACAATGTGTTTTCATTCTGCAGTTGTCTTTTTGGTTACCTTTTTTTTTTTTTTCTTATTTTATAAAGCTTCTCTATGGGCTAAAACACATAAAGAGAAAATGGAGATTTGTGCAAATATCGAGCCCACCGATTTTCACTCCTTCACACTGAAGCCCAGGGTGACTGGTCGGTCGCTCTGAGGAGGCATTGACCCATTTCTGAGTCTTCAGCAGGTCACGTGAGAACTTGACAGATCAGAATGTGGTGATGCAGTCCAAGTACAAGAATTCCTTTTACACCATAGGATTTGGTTTGCTATTCATGTGCACGTCTGGCCTGTTGATGAAAAATTGCCACAAGCACACAAAACAAAGAGTGCAAAACCAATTCCTCCCTGGGTATAAAGGCTCCTTGAAGAGCTCTTTGTGTGTTGACTTCCGCTTGGGCAGAATCACGGTTACGTGATTTCGTTTCAGTTCGTGATTCAGCCTCTAGAAGTCCTCTGTTACGCTAACCGAGGCAAGCCCGCGTTAGCATTATTCCAGTGGATGCTGTATGAGTACCCCACGGCTGCTGTGACAAACGACTGTGAACCTCGTGGCTTAAAACAAACACAGATTTGTTCTCCTGCAGTCCTGGAGGTTAGAAGGCTAGAGTGGGTCTGTCCTTCTAGAAGTTCCAGCTTCTGGAGGCTGCCCATGTTCCTTGGGCCATGGCCTCTTCCTCCCATCCTTTTCTTTTTTTTTTTAAAGATTTTATTTATTTATTTATTTATTTATTTATTTGACAGAGAGGGAGACACAGCGTGAGAGGGAACACAAGCAGGGGGAACTAGAGAGGGAGAAGCAGGCTTCCCGCTGAGCAGGGAGCCCGGTGCAGGACTCCATCCCAGGATCCTGGGATCATGACTTGAGCCAAAGGCAGAGGCTTAATGACTGAGCCACCCAGGCACCCTCTTCTCCCATCTTCGAAGCCAACAGCGCAGCATCTTCTCTCTCCTCTGACCTTTGATTCATCTTCTCATATTCTATTAAACCTACCCTCCAGCTTCTCTCTTACAAACACCCTTGCGATTATTGGCCCATGCAGATAACCCAGGATAAACTCTCCATCTCAGTATCTATAATTTTATCACATCTGCACATTCCCCTTTTACTGTGTAAGATAACATGGTCACTGGTTTGGGGGTTGGGGTGAGGACATCTTTGGGGGGCATTTTCAGCCTGTCACAGATGGCATGGGGTGCGGTCAAAGGTGTGTGTCTGCCAGGACTGGTGCTCCTCTATGGGCTTCCAGCTCACCTACCCTGGAGAGTCCTTTGTTATTTCCCTTTTAACCGATGGTGTAAACTAGGTCAGAGCAGTTAAGTACTTTTCCCGGCTTGTAAGTGTTGGAGTCAGGATCTTAACATGGATCCTGCTGTTTTCACACTTCTCGTACACCTCACACCCTACTCTAAGGGTTGGCCCCAGAGCAACCGTCAAGGGCCTGTTGATCTGATGACACGGAATCAGCATTTTGATGAGATCCCCAGGTAAACTTATGGACGATCAAGTCTGAGAAGCTCTTGCTAGACAAGAATGTGCCAGGCCCTGTGTTTTTTGCATTAGGTGCACTTTTTGTATGTACACTAGTAGTTTGTGGACATTTCCTTCAACTGTTAATAACAATGGTGTTTAACAAGGAAACTATTACTACTTTAGACTTACCATGCTCAACTGTCAAAGGGAAATGTTTTTATGGCTTTTATTTTGCTTTTTTTTTTTTTTTTAAGATTTTATCTATTCATTTTAGGCAGTGGG